TCTCCTCGCAGTCAAACTTCTGGAAGCAGCAGTCTAATCTTGCTGGTGTTGCTTTGCATCACTTCCCATTCTCTCCCTACTCTGTTTCAATCTGGCTTCTGCCTCCACTGCTACTGGACTCCACTCTATCTGCAATGAGCATGTGGCCCAGTCCTCATGCACTCAACAGTCAGCACTGTAGGCCCCTCCCTCCTTCCTGAATCCCTTCCAATCCTCAACTTCCATTGATTTCCCCTGACTTTGTTTTCCTCCTTCTTCCATTGGTGTACCGTTTTTTGTCCTCTCCATCAGCATCTTTTCCTCCTTCCATTTGCTAAATGCTGATGTCTCCCAGGTCCGGCAGAGCCCTTTCTTTCTTTCTTTTTTTTTTTTTCAGGGTAAATCTTTTCCCTGGGGAAGTCATTGTTAAATGGTGAATGAGGTAGAAAGTCAATGAAGGGTTTTGAGCAGAGAAGTGACATGATCAGAATTATGATTTAAAAAGTTATCTCTGGGGGCTTTTCTGAGGAATACAGGCAAGTGTGAAGGCCGGAAGATCAGTTAGAAATCTAACCATGGGGTGCTGGGCACGGTGGCTCACGCCTGTAATCCCAGCACTTTGGGAGGCCAAGGTGGGCGGATCACAGGGTCAGGCATTCGAGACCAGCCTGGTCAACATGATGAAACCCCATCTCTACTAAAAATACAAAAAAATTAGCTGGGTGCAGTGGTGCATGCCTATAATTCCAGCTACTCAGGAGGCTGAGGCAGGAGAATTGCTTGAACCTGGGAAGGCAGAGGTTGTAGTGAGCCGAGATCGTGTTACTGCACTCCAGCCTGGTCAACAGAGTGAGACTCCATCTCAAAAAAAAGAATAAAAAGAAAAGACATCTAGACATGGGGGCTAGATCAGGTTGGTTCCCATGGAGGTGATGAGAATGATTGCATGACAGATATATTTAGAAGTTAGAGCCCAGAGGACTGGATTGGAAGCCTGGGTGTGAAAGAAAGTCAAGAATAATCCAACTGTTTTTTTTTTTTTATTTGGGGTCGGGGACAGAGTCTTGCTCTCTCGCCCAGGCTGGAGTTCAATGGTGTGATCTTGACTCACTTCAACCTTCGCCTCAGGTTCAAGCGATTCTCCTGCCTCAGCCTCCTGAGTAGTTGATATTACAGGCACATGCCACCATGCCCAGCTAATTTTTGTATTTTTAGTAGAGATGGGATTTCAGCATGTTGGCCAGACTGGTCTTGAACTCCTGACCTCAAGTGATTCACCTGCTTCAGCCTCCTGAAGTGCTGGGATTACAGGCATGAACCACTGTATCTGGCCTACTCCAAGTGCCTTGGGCTGAGCAATTGGAAAAATGGACTTGCTATTTACTAAGATGGGAAAGACTGTAGTTTGTGCTGGAGAATGGTATTCTGGAGTTATTTTGGACATGTTAAGTGTGAGATGCCCATTAGAAATTCAAGTACAGTTGTCAGGTAGGCTGTTGGAGGTGCAAATGTGGTTAGGAGAGAGGCTGGGGCTGGCCTGGAGGCATATGTTTGGGAGCTGTCTACACGTGATGGTGTTAGAAGCCATGAGACTGGAGAAATCAGGAAGGAACTGAGCGCTTGGACACGCCGATGTTTGGAGTTTCAGAAGAACTCGAAAAAGAGACTGAGAAGAAGCCGCTGAGAAGGTGGGAGGAAAACCAGGGAGTGTGGTGTCTGGGAGGCAAGTGGAAAAGGTGTTGTAATACAGAATGCTCGGTAGTAACAGATGCTGCCAAGGGGCAGAGACAGATAAAGGCTGAAAGGTGGCCAGCCATGAGATCAGTGATTGGGGGGTGACTGGTGACCTTGACAGATAGTCTGAATAGAGTTGCAAAATGCTGATTAGAATGGGTTCAGTGGAGACTGGGCAGAGAAAAAGTGAAGACAGTGAGTATAAACAACTCTTCCTAGGAGTTTTGCCACTAAGGCATGAGAAAAGCAAGGCTTTAGCTGGTGGGGGATGGGCGGTTTTGTTGAGATAGATGTTACCAAATGTGTGTGCACTATTGAGAATCTTCCAGGAAAGAGGAAAAATTTGTCCTACAGAGTCTTTTTATGAAATATCTCACACTAATCCTCTCCCATTCCCAACACAGATGTCTTACTGGGGATTCTGACAATTTAATCCAGAGGGTAAACTTTATATGGCATCTTTAACAATGATATATCATGTGTCATAAAAATGTACACATTTTACTGATGGAAAGATATCCCCCAATACAAATACTTTTATCTTTTCTATTGATTAATGCATCTGGGGATGGGGGGAAGGGCTTAAGAATTGCATGCCACTCAACAAAAAAGGAACTCAATAATTAGAGTGCAGGGGGAAATGTGAAACCTCACTCAGTCCAAAGGAAACTGTGGATTCAAGGCTACTAATACTACAGTGACACAAAACTTTGGACTCAGCATCAATTTGGAAAGAGATCAAAGTTCACATTTTCATTCAGGCTTCATTTATATACACAGTGATAAAAAGATACTTGCCTAAGTTAAAAACATACGGTGCAGCCTTTTCATCCTGGGTGGCTCGCTCTCTAACTTAACAACCCTTGCCTCCAGAAAAAAAGGATAGTTTTGGAGGAGACTACATTTTTAGTAAGTGGGATATCAGCTCTCTTTATTTTGTCTGAAATATTGTTTTCTTAATCTTATACCTTGAATCTCATGAATACATTTCTAGTATTAAATGCATGTGGGCCCCTTTAAAAAGGCTAGAAATGTGTATTGTGTCTTTATAATATTTTTAAAAGAATAAAGGATAATATGATAAACATCTCTGTAACATAACCAGTTACAAATAATAAAACACTTCAGATACAGCTGAAGTATCACTCTTTAATCACAGTCCCCTGTGATTAAAGGACTCATGAGCTTGATTTAGGATGTGTTGAATTTTCTGGCCTGAGCTAAACTGAACAGATTAAAGCAAAACTAAATTTGGTGTTTATTTATGCCTATGTTCCTTTCGTTTCTTTTTTTTAGAGATAGGGTCTTTGCTGTGTCTCCCAGGCTGAAAAGCAGTGCCATGATCATAGCTCACTGTATCCTTGAACTCCTGAGTTCAAGTGATCATCTTGAGAGGCATCTTTTAAGACCTGGTATACTCAGAAAGATCTTGGGTAATAAAAATGTTAATTTCAACACCTCTTGGCCAACATAATAGTAAATGATTTTCTGGTAGCATGTGTTTCAAATATACTTTTGTCAAAAGCTTGGAGCTACAAATTTAGCTCAGCTGGTTATGGGAAGCATCCTCTATAAACCCTAACTGGCAAAGTTAGGCTTTACTGTCATATTAATCATCCTAATCAGACTTAATTCCTCCCCCAAAAAAGAGTCTGATTCATTTTCCAATTTGAATATATGCTAATTATCATCTCTGCGACAACCATCTTCGAATTCATATAACTCATAGAACTGAACTCAACTAACTCACATAAGTTGATACTATTTCCACACACTTTACTAAGAGAGACATACAGGTGTCTTGCCCTGGACTTAATAATATTTACTGTAGGTGGTACACTCTATTATTTGTTCACAGTTATTAATTCCCCCCAACTTTGCCACCCCTTCATATAGACTGAGTATATTTACCCCACTCTTGATTCTGGCCTTGGCCATGAGACTTGCACTGGCTAGTAGAAGGTGAGACTGGTGAAGCACACTGTCCCTGAGCAGAAGCTTTTTGAGGTACTGCGAATTCCCACTCTTGGCTCCTGCCATGAGAATAACATGTCCCCAAGAGCCTCTGCTTCCTCAGTCTGGGTGAAGTCCATCCACAGTGCAGAACCAGAAGGCCGTGGAACTGCCCACCATCTACCCACAGCCTGGAGCAGAGTTGCCAAACCATGGACTCCCAGCTGATTTGCAGCACCCCGTAAATATGGTGGTTGTAAGTCCAACCCAGGAATGCCGACCAATACTCTCTTCTATTGACAACATCCGGGACCTGCCTTTTTAACAACCAAAGCTTGTTTACAAATAAACCAGTGTTCTCAAGTTAAAATATGGGGATAAACTAATAAGACTACTCTAGCGACCAAGGGAGCAGCTCTGTCCATAGGAATACTCACATACCTCTTTAAGCCCAAGTAAGTGCAAATAAACTTACTTAAGTTTGAGTAAGTGAGATACAAATGAAAAGTATCCAAAATCTGAGAAAATCCTAGTCACCTGCTGTATTCCTTGGCTTGTCTGGATGTCATAATCTCATCATAATGAGCAATCACAGCTCACTGCAACCTCCGACCGCTGGGCTCAAGCGACCCTCTCACAACACCCGGTTAATTTTTTGGTATTTTTAGTAGAGATGGGGGTCTCATCATGGTGCCCATGCTAGTCTTGAACTCTTGAACTCAAGTGATACGCCTACCTTGGCCTCCCAAAGTGCTGGGATTACAGATGTGAGCCATGATGCCTAGCCTAGTATCACAATTTTCTCAGATACTAATATCAGCCATAAAATATAGCTGGGAAGAATTGGATTCATCAGTCTGAGGTATGTTTTTTATTTGTCACAAATTAAAAATGATTTTTATTTTAAAATAGTTTGACTCACCAGGTGTTACAAAATAGTACAGAGGGTTCCCATCTACACTCTGAGCATGAACTCATATAATCTCCAAAACAGCTGTTTAAAATCAAAGTTGGTGCTGCTATCTACATTTATGACAGGATAAGCTCAGAGAGGGCAACTTGTCTGAGGCACACAGCCAGGATGAGCTACGGCAGCATATAAGCCCAGGCAGACTAGCCTCAGAGTCCGTGCTCCGGTGAATCCTCTCAGAAGCAGTTGTATTAAGAACTGAAGTTGTACTTTTACACTGTTGGTGGGAGTGTAAATTAGTTCAACCATTGTGGAAGACAGTGTGGTGATTCCTCAAGGATCTAGAATCAGAAATATCATTTGACCCAGCAATCCCATTACTGCGTATATACCCAAAGGATTATAAATCATTCTGCTATAAAGACACATGCACACATATGTTTATTGCAGCACTAATTACAATAGCAAAGACTTAAAACCAACCCGAATGCCCATCGTGATTGACTGGATAACGAAAATGTGGCACATATATACCATGGAATATAATGCAGTCACAAAAAATAATGAGCTCATGTCCTTTGCAGGGACATGGATGAAGCTGGAAGTCATCATTCTCAGCATACTAACACAGGAACAGGAAACCAAACACTGAATGTTCTCACTTATAAGTTGGAGTCGAACAATGAGAACACATGGTGGACACAGGGAGGGGGACATCACACACTGGGGGCTGTCAGGGGCTGGGGGGCAAGGGGAGGGAGAGCATTAGGACAAATACCTAATGCATATGGGACTTAAAACCTAGATATCAGGTTGATAGGTGGAGCAAACCACCATGGCATGTGTATACCTATGTAACAAACCTGCACATTCAGGGCATGTATCCCAGAACTTAAGTAAAGTTAAAAAAATAATAATAACTGAAGATGTTTACTTGCTCTCATTCATTCATCCCAGAGAAAAAGGTTTGAGTGCACACCCTGGGTCAGGCACTGGGAAAGGTGCTAGCTGGATAGGCAGTGATGAATAAAGCAGACAGTAGATAGAAATGACATCATAATAATGCATCATATATTTTTAAAAAGCTATAAGATATTTTAAATGTTGTCACCACAAAGAAATGAAATATTTGATAAATATTTGAGTGATGAATATGCTCATTAGCCTGATTTGATCCTGCCACAATTATACATACACTGAAAAATCACATGGTACTTCATAAATATAGACAATTATTTGTCAATTATTTTTATTTTATATTTTTATTTTACTTTAAAAAAAATAAAAAATAAAAATTACACCAATAAATATAAGAGGTACAAATTATGCTGAGTGCCCTGGTGAAAAGAGGAAAGAGGAAAACCCAGGGTTCTATGAATGAGAATTAGAGAGGGGGCATGAGGGAGGCAATTGAAGAAGGGGTTTGGAGGAATGTGTGTCCTTGGGTGCAGGTCACAGGAAGGGACTCATGAGCTTGATTCAGGATGTGTTGAGTTTTCCGGACTGAGACACGTCCAGTCTGCAGAAGGTTGGATATAAGGAAATCTGGGACTCTGGCATCATGGCTGAGTGGAAAGCCGAGGGTGATTATGACTAAGGGGCAGGCTGTGGCTAAGCCACCAGCAAAGATGAGACTTCCTGAAAGGAAGCTGCAGAATGAGAAGGCAGGCAGAAGAGAGGAAAGAAGAAAATCGCAGAGGTGGGGATATCTTTGCATCCGTGTGTCTCCAGTGCCCAAAACAGGGCCTAATGGAGAAGAGGCCCTCGGTACCTGTATGTTGCCTGGCGGGCTGAATGAACATATGGGTGACTGTCTCAGAGTCGCCTTAGTAGTGTCCCTTCCTCTCTAGACCTCCGTTTTCCTCTGTAAAAAATGACAATAGCGACCTGGGTCGGACGGGCAGCTGCGGCTGCTGGGGCTCAGTGAGGCCCCTCCAAGACGCGCGCCCGCATCTGCCCGCCTGGTGTCAGCGGGGCACGGTGTCCACTGGAGCGCGAGAGCCGCCGGGACCGCGGAGGACAGTGGGCTCGCTTCCCCTGCAATCGCCCAGGAGCTCCAGGCCGAAGGGGGCGTGAGGAGGAAAAGGGATCCTGCACCTGGAGTGGGGCAGGCGCGGCGAGGAAGCCAGGGGAGACGGGGAAGCGAGGCCCGCGGTGCGGAGGGCGCGGGGCGCGCGGGGACACCTTGGGGAGAGGCATGGTAGGGGCAGAAGTAAGGACGTGAAAAGGAGAGGGAGATCCAGGAGAGAAACCTGAGAGACCCAGAGGCCTACAGAGGTTTTCATCTAGGGCCCTTCAGAGCCCAAGAAAGAGCAGGTGGGGACGCGGGAGGGAGCCTTACGACAAAGCTGGCAGCATCAGTGACCGAAACGCCCGGCTGGGCAGCCCCGGGGCGCACTTCTACCCCGGCAGCGCAGCAGAGGCCTGGAGAGCGCGAGGTGCTAGGGCCCAGGCTGCCCCTAGAGGGCTGGCCCGAAGCGCTGGAGTCCAAAGAGGCCTCCTGCCGCCGCCGGGTGGCAGAATTGGGGGCAGGCGCGTCCCACCGACCCCAAGGGTGGCCCCGCCCCCAGGGCCGCGGGGAGGCCCCACCGTGGGGGGCGGAGTTGTCACCGCCCCCTCCCCAATCCCCGCGGACTGCGGCCCCTTCTTAAGCCCGCGGCGCCTCTAACTGCCCCTCACTCGTCTCTCCCGTCAGTCTCCCTTCCGCGCGATGGCCTCGGCGCTGAGCTATGTCGCCAAGTTCAAGTCCTTCGTGATCTTGTTCGTCACCCCGCTCCTGCTGCTGCCACTCATCATTCTGATGCCCGCCAAGGTCAGTTGCATCTCCAGGCAGCCCCGCAGACACCGGGCGCCCGGTGCCGACTAACGGGCGCCGAACCCGGGAACCCCGAGCTGGAGCGCACGGATTCCGCGGGGGGCACAGCTCTCCCCCGGCGCGCGCACTCGGGAGCTCCAGGTGCCAGATGGGAGGTGCCCTGAAAAGAATCCGAGGGGCATGGCGACCGCAGGGCGCACCAACCTTGGGGTTTACGGATCCCAGGGCGCAAGAGCCGTCAAGGCAAGCACAGAAACCTCGAAGTGAGCACAGATCTCAGCCGCACAGATCCCAGCCTTAGACTCAGCCCTGGTTCCGAATCGAATCTCCCCACAGTGCATAAGCCTGTTTTCCCCAAAATGTCACCTATGCCAACAGGGAGCCTGGGAGCTTGCCTTTCCCTCCATCTTTTCTGTCTCTTCCCTTCGCCAATAGAGACTTCAAGTTGTAGGTGGCTTCTGCCGTCAGGAGGGACCTACAGGAAAAGATCGTCACCACGTGGACACTGCAGTCTTTGCCACTCTCTGGCCCTTCCTTGGGCCTTAGTGTCTCTGTCTATGATCCACACTTCTTCCAACCCCGAGAGCCACAGCTGAGTCAAAATCCTGCTCCAGGCTGCAGGCAGGTCGGGAGTTGGCCTGCTTTGCCTGCTGCCTGCTGGGGCTGTGGCAGGAGGCGGGACACATTCCCAGAGCTCACGCCTTGGGTGGCAGGACCTGGGGTTGCAGGGAAGCTTCCTCCCAGGCCCTGGTCTCCTAATGCTTCTGGGAGGGAGAGAGAGAATGAATGGTCTTGGCCGCAGGGTGGGGGCAGGCTCCACTGGGCTGTGCACAGCCAGTTTGGCAGAGGCCCGAGCCCTTTGAAGCCTTTTGTGGCTGCTGGCTGCTCCTTCCTTGTTCTTTCTTTTAGCCCTTTCACTCTCAGCCCAGACAGGAAACCTCCAGCTCCCCCCACCCCCAGCCTCCCGGGGCAGGTTTGGGAAACAGAGGAGTTCTTCAGGGGATGCTCTAGGGGCAGCTCTAGAGGAAAGGGGTGCTTTGGGGTGTCAGAAAGCCAACCTGCAAGAGAACTGGACTTCCATCCTTCTCTCATCTTTGTGACTTTAGCCAAGTGCCTGTGCTCTCTGGGCCTTGGTGTTCTTATCTGTACAATGGGACTAGGTGGTTTGGTTCTGACACTTTAAGGCTTTGGGAATCAAAAGGGATTGACGTTGGTTCCTAGGATGGGGGGCAGAGAGACTGGGAGGAGCCCTTGGGTGGGCCTAGCACAGGCCCTGGATGCGCCAAGGACAGCAGATCCAACTGTGGAGGCTCTAGAATTGCCACACCACCTGTAGCAGTCACACTTCCTCTGTAGCAAAAGGTTTGTGGCCATTATTGCCCAAAGGAAAGAGCCAGGCAGGAGAGCTGTGATTTTAGTTCTTCTGGCAGGGAGTCATGTTCCCTGGAATAATTATAGTAGTTTGGCTGACCTTCCTTCCCCAGGAGACCCTACTCTCTCTCTCTCTCTCTCTCTCTCTCTCTCTCTCACACACACACACACACACACACACACACACACACTGAGCTGGAACCCCAACTCGCCGTGTGTGTGTGTGTGTGTGTGTGTTGTTGTTGTTGTATGTGAGTGACAGGGAGAGAGAGAGAGAGATTAAGCTGTCCTATGAGTGAAGACCAGAGAGGGGAAGAGGAGAACCCAGAGAGAGTCCTTCCAAAGACTGCCTCGAAGAGCTTTCCTTCTGATTGTGTTGGTTGAGGACCCTGGACCTTGTCTTCTTGTTTTTTCCCTTTGTGCCTCTGTTTCGGTCACTCTGCCTCCACCCTGCATGGCCACCCCATTATGCAAGGAAATCCAGAGGGTACACAGCACAGGCAGGGCAGCTGGGAAGCTGCTGAGAAACCGGCAGGACCTTGGCAGCCTGAGCAGCACAGTCCTTGCCAGGAGGTGACTCCCAGGGCATGCTACCCTCTGCCAACACCCAGGCCCTTCTCACCCACTATTTCCAGTTTTCCTGTCTCTACCTTGGTTCCTTCCTGGCCTCATCTCTGCTCTACTTTCTCTATCCTTTCTCTATGTCCTTTTTTATTTAAAAAAAAAAAAATCATTTAAGACAGGGCATGGTGGCTTATGCCTGTAATCCTGGCACTTTGGGAGGCAGAGGCGGTCAAATCACAAAGTCAGGAGTTTGAGACCAGCCTGATCAACATGGTGAAACCCCATCTCTACTAAAAATACAAAAATTAGCTGGGTGTGGTGGTGCACACCTATAGTCCCAGCTACTTGGGAGGCTGATGCCGGAGAATCGCTTGAACCTGGGAGTCGGAGGTTGCAGTGAGCCGAGACTGCGCCACTGCACTGCAGCCTGGGCAACAGAGCAAGACTCCATCTCAAAAAAAAGAATCATTTAATAAAATAAATGATAAATTTCTTGTATCATTTATTTTATTAAAATGTAAATGAATTCATTTTACAAATCTGTAAGGTATAAAGTAAAAATGAAAATACCCTCAAATCCCATAAGTTATTCATAATTTGATGAACATCTTTCCAGAAACCAATCAATCTCTTCTCTCTCTTCCCAAACACGCACAGGCACACGCAAATACAGAGTAGGTTTGCCTACACTTTTTTATTAAGTGGTGTGCCAGGACACCCTGACTTGTTAATGTCGGACTTTTCTAACATCCCCTTCCTATCCTACCCTCTCCCCTGACACTGTGGGGGCCATTCTAGACTAGGAAGGGTCAAGCCTGTTGACTTCAGGGATGAGGTACCTCCTGGGCTTCCAAATAGTGGGGTGGAGATGAGGGGGCAGGTAACTTTGTATCTCATCCTCTTTCCTAGTGGGTGTGTTTGATGCCTCCAGGAATGCACAGTGTACACTGGTGACATGTGCCACCTACTGCTTCTAAATTTAGAGAATCAAAAGCTACCGAGGACTTTGTGTGCCATATGTGAAAAATGAGCACTCCTAAATCCCTAATTTGAAGATGAAGACATGAAACAAGAGAGGAGAGAGACCAGGGTTGGGAGCAGGAGGAGCAATCTTCGAGTGACATTGTTTACAATTGCTGTCTCATAATAGTAAGAAACAAACTGATTTTTAGCTAATATTATTGTTTTAAAATTCTCTCCAATGCACCCTCTCATTATCGGCTCCCAGAAGGGATCATTCTCATGGCCTGCCTGGGGGTACATCCCTGACACCAAGGCCCAGAGAAGTTAGTGACCGGGCCAGACAGTAGCTGACAGCAGATGCCAATCACGTCTGCCTGGTGTCAAAGCCTGGACTTCCAGGCTGCTGTTCTGTCTTTAGTTAACCAGCATTGATCCTTTCTCCTGCCCCCAGCCTGCCCCACAACAGGGGAGCTTTGGCAAAGTACAGAGACATTTTTTGCTGTCCCAACTGGAGACAGTTCTACTGGCATCTCATAGGTGGAGGCCAGCAATGCTCTCAATATCCCGCAGTGCACAGCCCCCACCACAAAGAATTTAACTCAAAATGTCAGTGTGCCTGGCTGAGAAACCCCGCCTTGCCAGTAGGGAGTTGCCCTGGGTTGCTCATGGGATGCTGAAGAAAGATTTATTTTTTTTGTGGCTGATAACACAACCCAAACAAAGAATTTCTAAGTCTTCCTGCAATGTGTTGTGCAAATAATACATGCTCTTCTGGGTGATGACAAGCAGTGATTGTGTCCAGGTGCATCTGTTCTTCAGCAGCGTTGTCATAGCTAAACTCGGATGAATGCTGTCGATTCCTTTAATAAGCATTTGCAAAGATATCCTAAGTGTTAGGCCTGTTTTAGATGCAGAGGACAGAGTGAATCTAGAAATACAGCAGGTTCTTGAATAATGTTGTTTCATTCAACATCATTTCATTATCATGTTGATCAGGGGGGAAAGGAAGGATCTTTTGAGCCCAGGAGATGGAGGCTGCAGTGAGCTACGATCGTGCCACTGCACTCCCGCCTCGGCAGCAGAGTGAGACATTGTCTCAAAAATAAATAAATAAAGTGAGAGAGAAAGAAAAGAAAATGATTACTGGCTGGGGTCACTGTCCGTGGAATTTGCATATTATCTCACGTCCGCAAGAGTTTTCTCCAGGTACTGTGGTTTCCTTCTGCATCTCAAACATGTGCATGTTAGGTGAATTGGAGTGTGTTTGTCCCCGACCTGAGTGAGTGTGGGCGTGCATGTGAGTGTGCACTCTGCAATGGAATGGCATCTTGTCCAGTGCTGGTTCCCACCTGTACCCTGAGTTGCTGGGACAGGCTCTGGTCGCCCAAGGCCCTAACCTGTCATAAGTGGGTAAATAATTATCTCACCTGTTTTTATTCATGATCCTTAAATATCTGTATAGCTCACATTTATTTCGGTGTTTAATATTGGAAGTGTTTTGGTCTTCATATAGAAGCTCTGTGATGTTTTCGTGACCAGGAATACGCTTCCAAGAACCAATCGATGGTGTGAAGGGAGGACTCACTATACTGTTTGTGCTCTCGAGTCACACACTGCTTGTGGTAGTAGAAGGACGATTGAGGAAACAGGGACAATCCCATATGCTAATGTCTGAGGGGGGTGGTATTCAGAGGAAGGGCACACCTCAGGCTGTGGAGGGGGCACAGGGAGACATCTAAGAAGGAATCTGGAGCTGAACCCTGATTCCTCACCCCAGGCCCAGGGCCTGGGTAAGAGGAGGAGGCTGTGAGAGGGAGAGCACCCACCTCACTACCTCAGTTACTGAAAGTGCTTTGGGGTTGCTGGAACCCAGGGTGTAAGTGGGTGACGACATGAGGCTGAGGGGATCCATAGAGCCTGGCCCCTCGAGGAGGATCTTTTAAGTCCTGCTGAAGCCCTTGGGATTTGTCCTGAAGGCAACAGGAGTCTTTTAAACAAAGGGGTTGTTAATAAGTAAAATTTCAATGACGCAAAAGAAATAACACTGGAAGATATGTCCTCTCAGCAAGGCAGTTTACTTCTATAGAAGGGTGCAGGACACATGATGGAGGAATGATGGCCACCGCATGCTTGGACAAGCGGGGAAGCGGTACTTATGCCTGACGGGGGTCATCCCTACTGCTGTGTCGTCGTCCCCTATTGGCTACCATTAGACCGCACAAAGTAGACTAATCGTGATTGGCTATTTTAAAAAGAGCCAGGGTCCAAGCTGGAGTGGCAGGGTGGGTGTTTTTGTGGGAAGGACGGTTATGGGCGTGTCAGAGCAGGTAGCTGGGGTGATTAGGTGACCGGGATGAGTCAGGATGGAGGAGGGGGTGTAAGGGGTAAGGGGAGCAGATGTGAACTACTGATGAACCGGTGGAGAAGGCTGTTTACTGGAATTACAAGGAAGTTAAACTTTAAAATAGAGATTTAAATAATAAGAGAGCTGGACATACTGACATACCGATTATTTGAAGAGAAACCTGGGGTTCACTGTAACACAGTGCTATGATCAGATTTGCCACAGAGAAAGAGGGAGGACAGTATAGTTGATGCAGATAGGGAGAACAAATGAGAGGAGAATTGCTGTGAGATATGGAGAGAGGAGGAGATTCGGCCTGAGCAAAGGCAGTGGCCATGGGGATAAAGGAGGGGGTGGGAAAAAGGCCCAAAAATCAGAGGTCAGCGCCATAGGTCTTGGTGACTGATTTAATTGGAGGGGGCTGGAATGAGGGAGAGGGTACAGCCTGGGTAATTAAATGAGGATGACAATAAGAATGCTGATGGAACATAAAACAACCTAGGGAGGTGGCTATTTTTATTATGTAATTATTATCATATTTATTTCAATAGCGCTAGGGGTATACATAGTTTTTGGTTACAGGGATGAATTGGACAGTGGCAAAGTCCGAGGTTTTAGTGCACCCGTCACCTGAGTAGTGTATGTGGTGCCCCATGTGTGGTTTTTTATCCCTCACTCCCCTCCCAACCTCCCTGCTTCTCAGTCTCCAGTGTCCTTTATACCACACTATATACCTTTGGGTACCCATAGCTTAGCTCCCACTTATAAGTGAGAATGTGCAGTATTCGGCTTTCCATTCCTGAGTTACTGCTCTTAGAACAATGGCCTCCACTTGCATCCAAGTTACTGCAAAAGACATCATTTCATTCTTTCTCATAGCTGAATAGTATTCCATGGTGTCTATCCACCACGTTTTCTTTATTCACTTCTTGGTTGATGGGTACTTAGGTTGGTTTCATGTCTTTGAAATTGTGAACTGTGCTGTGATAATAGGTCTTCAAACCAAAGAGGTTAAATTATTGACGCAAAGTCCTAGGATGAGAGAGGGGCCAGGCCAGCAAGTGCTTGTTTGAAAACCCAGCCCAGTCTCACCCCAAAGCCAAATCCCAGTGCTAAGTGACTAAAGGTGGTGAATGGAACGTTCACAAAAATGTGAATATGAATAGCATAGCTTGAGGCCTTTGTCATTAGAGAGATGCCACTGGGAACACCAAGCACCATCTTCTCAATTGTAATGAAAACAACCCTAAGACCCTCCTGGTGGCTCATGCCTGTAATCTTAGCACTTTGGGAGGATGAGGCAGGTGAATCATTTGAGGTCAGGGGTTCGAGACCAGCGTGGCCAACATGGTGAAACCCTGTCCCTATTAAAATTTTTTTAAAAAATAGCCAGGTGTGGTGGTGGGCAACTATAATCCCAGCTACTGGGAGGCTGAGGCAGGAGAACCACTTGAACCCAGGAGGCGGAGGTTGCAGTGAGCCGAGATCATGCCACTGCACTCCAGCCTGGGCTACTGAGCAAGACTCCATCCCCCCCCGGAAAAAAAAGAGAAAAGAAAAGAAGAAAACTCCAAGCAAACCTTGAAAACTCCCAGTGCTGGCGATTTTCTGGAGGAACTGGTTTACAGGTACATTCCTGGAGCAGAGAAAGTCAGAGCAGCCCTTTGAGAAAGAAATTAGGAATAGGTATTAGGAATTTGAGGAAGTGCTTCCAGGGGCCTCTCCTAAAAAGGGAAAGACCGATTTAAAAACAGGTGAGCCAAAGAAAGTAGAGTGATCACAGCATTCTTTTGAGGGCCGAAAAGAAATCACATTTACTCAGATGCAGGAAGGCAGAGGGGAAGTGAAATGATCTGCCAAACTTACAGAGTATTTGCAGTTTTAAAAATGATCAGCTTGAACATTACTAGCCAAATGAATAAATGACCACGGCAGAACTTTGAGAAAAGGAAGTGGAATTGAAGGCCAATGTGGAGACAAATTGCACTTAGCTTTCAAAATGGAGAGAATTTCACTTATTTTGTAAAATGATTTTATCTAATTCTTACAGCATGTCATTAAAAATGGTATTTAAGGCTGGGCGTGGTGGCTAACGCCTATAATCCCAGCACTATGGGAAGCCGAGGTGGGCGGCTCACCTGAGGTTAGGAGTTTGAGACCAGCCTGGCCAATATGAAGAAAGCTCGTCTTTACTACAAATACAAAAAAAAAAATTAGCTGTGCGTGGTGGTGGGTGCCTGTAATTCCAGCTACTTGGGAGGCTGAGGCAGAAGAATCACTTGAACCTGGGAGGCAGAGGTTACAGTGAGCCAAGATCGTGCCATTGTATTCCAGCCTGGGTGTCAAGAGTGATACTCTGTCTCAAAAAAAGTATCCTATTCTCCTTTTCCTTCTCCTCTTCCTCCTTTCTTTTCTTCCTTCTCCTTCCCCTTCTTCCCCCTTCCTCTCTTTCTTCTATCCCCTCCTCCTCCTTCGCCTCCTTTTCCCTTCATTTTCCTTTTCTTCCTTGTCCTATTCTTGATCTTTTCTTTTGAGAGGCAGCAATCCAAGGTTTGAGAATATGAAAGAACTTCCCTGGAACCACACAGCTGGGAAGTAGGGAGGCAGGAAGGAGGGATGGGAACAGGGCAGGAGTCCTTTGAGGATGGATCCTATGCCTGCCTCCCTGTCTTGACCTCGGAAAGCTGTGCTGACCAGGGCTGGGGAACAGGATCATTTTGAGGGGATTCCCTCTGAGGACACCACTGTGTTTTGGTGATCCATGCCAGCCACTGTCTGGGGTATTCTGGGTGTGGGGAGAGCAAGGTGGCCACATGCCGAGGCCTCAGGACCATCTCTTCAGTTTGTCAGGTGTGCCTACGTCATCATCCTCATGGCCATTTACTGGTGCACAGAAGTCATCCCTCTGGCTGTCACCTCTCTCATGCCTGTCTTGCTTTTCCCACTCTTCCAGATTCTGGACTCCAAGCAGGTGAGCAGACCCAGGGGATCCTGGTGACTTCCTGGTTCTCCCCTTGCCTCTTTCTCTAGTGCCCCCTCTGAGCCATGCAGGCCTGGGGGTGACTGGAGAAGCTCCATTTGTGGATGCCCCCTGGCAGGGGGACACCACTGGAGCCTGCATCCCCACTCCAAGCTGTCCCTGAAGTCAGCATCCAGGGACTTGGGTGGCTCAAGGGTGTGGCAAGGGGCAGCCCTGATGGGCCCTCCATGCCACGCTCTAGGTGTGTGTCCAGTACATGAAGGACACCAACATGCTATTCCTGGGTGGCCTCATCGTGGCCGTGGCCGTGGAGCGCTGGAACCTGCACAAGAGGATTGCCCTGCGCACGCTCCTCTGGGTGGGGGCCAAGCCTGCACAGTAATTATGCCTTCTCTCTCTTGACATGTGGCTCTGCGTGGGCCCCAGGGCTGGAAGGGGATAGAGGGTGGTAGAGGCCAGACCACCCACTGGTGAGGACTGGCCATGGGACTACCTGGGCTTGGCTGGATGGGGTGAGTTACAGCTTTAGCTGGAGAGACCAGATGCACGTGTGGTGGTGGCCCATGGTGAATAGCAGTAGGTAAGGGTCCTCTGAATCCAGAGGAGGTGGGTCAGCAAGAGTCCTTGCAGACTTGGAAGGCTTCCAGTGGGAGGCAGCTACCTGCAGGGTTCCACTGGGAACAAATTAAATAGAAGCTGGATCAAGCTGTGCCTGATGGGGGAGGGGAAGCAGTCCAGAAGCGGCTCAACTACCCAGCTAATGGGGAAGTGGAAAAGTCATCTTTCCAAGCTGGGGCATCTATTCCCCCTGCAAAGAAGCTTCTTATCTTCTTCTACATTGCTCCGTATACCAGCTTCTCCATTTCCAAGATGTCCCCTGCCAATCCAGCTGGCCATTTCCAGCTAAGCCATGGAGTCGATATAATCACTCATAATCATCATGGGTATATTGAGTGTCTACACAGCCCCAGGCATGATACCAGGAGCTTATCCATTGCCTCATTTAATTCTCACCACAACTCTGAGAGTTGAGTATTCTTACCGCCCACATTCTATAGATGAGGCATCCCAGGCAGAGAGGGATAAAGTGATTTGCTCATGGTCATGTGGGGATTGGACCCAGCTTATCTGATAAGGCCTGTGTCCTCTCTAATCAGACACTCAGGGCACATCTTCCTTTTGAGGCAATATGTCCCCTCAATGATGGCATGCCCTGGGCTCAGCCCTCGAGAGTCAGCTGCTGGTTAGTTCACAGTAAATTCCTCCTGAGTCGCCCATGTGTCGGGGGTTGTGCTGGACCCTGAGCATACACAGACTCTGGGCCGCCCTGCAGGTGACCCATGCCTGGGGCTCCCTTGGTGCCTCAGACTCCCCTGAGCGGGCGACTTTGTGGTTCTCTGATCTCTGTTACCCATCCTGGCATTGATTCCTTCTATTGATTGGTTTAGCATCAAATCAAAAGCCATTGTATTTTCCAGAAATGATAGACCCCAAGAAAGTGGACCTCGGAGCCCTCAGAATTCATGTTCTTGGCCCCCTTGAGTGGCCAGCTTGGGAGGCCACTCCAATGGGTTTCATTCTGCAGCATGCTGGAGAGCTTCCCCTTCCAAACCCAAGTTCATCCACAATTCTCTCTCCTTCCTGCCACTTGGCTCCTCTGAGCAGGGTCTCCAGTTAGTCCAAGGCACTGCCTGTCCTGGGGGGGTCACCTTGGTGCCTTGAAACATCATGTAGCAGCCTTGGTCCTTCTAAGATACCTCCATTCATGCAAACTCTCACCCTCCTCCTAGCCTGGGTCCCAGGCTTTGTTTTTATGGGTCCATAATGTCTCCCTGTGTGGACACCAGCTTGGTCCTGGTGAAGAACAGCTCCTAGGAGCCTCTTCAGGTTTCTACCCCTGGGTGAACTAGGAACACTGAGGAGGAGCCTGACTGCAGCAGGACATGCAGACTGAGAACAGGCAAGCTCTTTTTAATTTTTGAGACGGAGTCTTGAGCTGTTGCCCAGGCGGGAATGCAATGGTGCGATCTTGGCTCACTGCAACCTCTGTCTCCTGGGTTCAAGCAATTCTCCTGCCTCAGCCTCCTGAATAGCTGGGATTACAGGTGCCTGTTACCATATCTGGCTAATTTTTTGGTATTTTTTTTAGTAGAGACAGGGTTTCACCATGTTAGCCAGGATGGTCTCGATCTCCTGACCTCATGATCTGCCTGCCTAGGCCTCCCAAAGTGCAGGGATTACAGGCATGAGCCACCATGCCCAGCCAGGTGAGCTCCTGTCTCTAGCCTTGTACAGCTAGGGTGTGTGGAGCCACAGAGCAGAGTCAGGCCCTGCCCTGCTCACAGCCTAAGGAGAAAGCAGACGTTGAAACAGGTGCTTTGAACCCAGCACAATGATGATGACAGTAGTGGGGAGGATTGAGAAGGGTGAGGCCAGCCCCACCTGGTGCACACTGAGAGGGTGGTCCCAGAGGAGGGACATTGTTTGGGCAGCCTCTGAGGGACCACAAGGAGTCTTCCTGATAGATGGCAGAGAAGGGAGCAAGCATTATAAGCAAAGGGAGCCTATTTTACTGTTTGTGTGATCAGGTCCACTGCAGCGTGGAGGGGTCAAAGTGTATGTGCGGGGGGAGACGGTGGGGGCGGAGTTCCAGCTGGGGAAGAGTCACACTTCACCCAAGCTTCCTCCCCAGCTCACCCTACACCTACTCTGCTTAGCCCTTCTGAACTTCTGAGAGGTGCGGCAGGGTTTGGGGTGGGTGGTGATTTCCTAGCCAGAAGTGGAAAGCTGGGGCTGCCTGCACGGAGAGTATTCCAGCACGCCCTAGGGCAAGCTCCATATTGAGTTGGCACCATCTGGATGCTTGGGCTTCCCCTGCTAGATGGTGGGGCAGGGGTGCTCCTCAGAACCACAGCTGGATCTGAGGCCTCTTGGTAACCCCAGCAGCAAACACAGTAGACATCAGTAATGTATGTAGAAGAAGCAGGAGGGAGAGAGGAAGGGAGGAGGCAAAGGAGGGAAGAAGGGAGGGAGGTAAGGCCCTGAAACTGTCATCCCTATTCAAATAGCCAGTCTTGAACTGGCCTCAACACCTGTGCAACCCCGCAGGGGTGGACCCCGTCCATGGTTGCTCCCTGGGAAGTGTTGAGGGATGGGGTGGGGATTCTCTGGCTTTCCTCCCCGCCCCTCCTCTGCAGGCTGATGCTGGGCTTTATGGGTGTCACAGCCTTCCTGTCCATGTGGATCAGCAACACGGCTGCCACAGCCATGATGGTGCCCATTGTGGAGGCCATGCTGCAGCAGATGGAAGCCACAAGCGCAGCCACTGAGGCCGGCCTAGGGGCCCTGGAGCTGGCGGACAAGGGCAAGGCCAACGAGCTACCAGGTGAGCCCCTGGCGGCACTGCCAGGCTGCAACAGCCTTCCCCTTCCTCTGTTGGCAAACGCTTTGGCCACCTCCTTCTCCCTGTCTGCTTCCTGAAGCCCTCCTTTAAATACGCATAGAGAAAACTATTAGAAAATGCTGTTGTCATCAGTTTTAAGAATGGGATTCTTGCATAGAAGTTGGATCCTGTAATAGAGTTTGAAATCAATGTGTCCATTCGATTATTCATTTGGGCATCTTTTGAGCATTTACTGGGGGCCCCTCCCTCCTTGATATGCCTGCTCATCCTCAAGGAGCCCTTCTCTGACCTTTCTTGAGTAGCTCAATCCTTCCACTCTCTGCTCCCATGGATCTTGGGCTTGGTGTCCCATGCTTGCTTCCCTGCTAGGTGCCAGGCTCAGGGAGGGCAAGTTAGCATCTGCCTTGCCATCTGCCATGTTCCCTTACCATCCCCAGCCTGGTGCAGTAGACACAGGGTCTGTGGCTGATGGCCTGATTGCCAGACCCAGGGCAAGGTCTGGGTACAGAGAGGAATTGGGCACATCCCTGCTGACAACTCTTATGGAACCCAGTGGGGCAGCTAAATCAGCAGGGCTGGGATGTCCCAAACCTCAGGTCAGCAGCAGAGTCAGGAGCTGGGGCTGGGTGGGCAGCCCCCATCAGTGGCTTAGCTAACAGCGCTGTGCCTGCCACAGGGAAACAAGTGATTTTTGAAGGCCCTCCTCTGGGGCAGCAGGAGGACCGAGAGCGAAAGAAGATGTGCAAGGCCATGACCCTATGTGTTTGCTATGCGGCCAGCATTGGGGGTACCGCCACCCTGACTGGGACAGGACCCAACGTGGTGCTCCTGGGCCAGATGAACGAGTGAGTTCTTGATCACATCTTCTGGGGACAACAAAGTGGGTACCAGGGCTGGAGGGACCTGCCCACCTCTCTCTCCTCCTCTGCAGGGTCCTGGAGCTCGAGGCAGCCAGATCTGGCCTGGGAGAGCCTGGCAGGGGTGGAAAGATGTGGCCCCTTCCAGCCTCTGTGTCCTGGCACCCCTGTGCCCACACACAAGCCCATAGGGAGCTAATGCCAAGGAGCTAACACCCAAGTCCGCTGTCTGCTCTCATGCAAGTCCCACTATCTCCCCTGGGCTCAGGGACTCTGGCTCAGAGAGTGACTGTGGATTGAACTCTGAGCTAAAGTCATGGTAGATGACAATGTACTCCCAGACACTGGGTCCTTGGTTGAAACGTGTAGAAAATAGACACCTCTAAAAGACTCCCCACCACTCCTTTGGATCACTCCCTGTGGTTGTTAATGGTGATGGTCCCATGATATCCGAGGCCTACAGATGCTGTGAAGGGCTGGGGTTGGGTCATTCAAGGCCTCACTGCTTCCTTATAGTCCCACAAATTGCCTTTGAGGTGACAGGTCCCCTTTTGAGGTGTCAGCTGAACCATGAGATGATTTGGAACTTTCCAAAGCAGCCTTGGCCACAAAGGGACACAGGCCATGAGGACCCCATGTCTGTGCCTGGCCTTCTGCTGGGCGGGACTGGACTGGGATCACAAGAGGGAGAGAAAGATGGACCCTGCCACAGGGTATTCATGGTCTGTTGAGGGTGGCAAGATGCCGGGGGGTTCCAGGCACGTCTGGTAAATAAATGCATTAATTGAGGTATGTGCTAATTGCAGTGGCAGGAATGAAAATAAGGTGGTGCCATCCAGTGCAGACAGGAGCCTGGACAGGGGTGGGGAGGGCAGTGGGCACAGGAGCTGGGAGGTGGAAAGGACAGGCCTGGAGCCTGGCTGGGCAGAAACTTGAGGTTCAAAATCAATTTGGTTTTAATGTCAGGAGTGTTTTCTGTAATGATATCCTTACAGTTCTCTGGAAACTTTCTCTGGGAAGAGCGGCCTGTCTAGGCTGGGTGGGAAAGCTCTGCGTCTGCTTTGCCACTCTGTTTTTTTTGAGAAAGAGTCTTGCTTTGTCGCCCAGGCTGGATGCAGTGGTGTGACGTCAGCTCACTGCAACCTCCGCCTCCCCAGTTCAAGCAACTCTCCTGCCTTAGCTTCCCAAGTAGCTGAGATTATAGGCATGCGCCAGCACGCCAGGCTAATTTGTGTGTGTGTATATGTGTGTTTTTAGTAGAATCGGGGTTTTGCCATATTGGCCAGGCTGGTCTTGAACTTTCCTGAGCTTGTGATCTGCCTACCTCGGACTCCCAAAGTGGGATATCAGGTGTGAGCCATGGCACCTGGCCTGCTTTGACATCCTTCAGCTAAAGGAGACAGCCGCTAGGGCTAGCAGAGCCTGGGGAATGGGAGGCAGAGCCTGCGGCAGAAGCGACCCTCCTCCAGCCTCCGCTCTGGGAAGATTTTGAGGTTTGCTTTGCCAAGGGTTGGGGAGGGCATCCTTTGCAGAAACCTGTAGGGTGAAATTGCTGAGGTCTCTCTTCGGATCCTCAAAGCCATCAGCCAAATTACATGCATATGTATACAAAGGTGTATTTTTCTGGAGGGATGAGCCGTAGCGTTCATGAGACTCTTAGCAAGGCTTGGACACATAGAAGGGTCAGTGGGTCATTTCTTGGCCTTGTCTTGTGCTGTGGCCATGTTCTGAGGTTCCCACTCAGTTAGGGGATAATGCTTAACAATGGACTTGGTGGCTAGACCTCTGGAGGATGTGGCCTCCACTCAGGCCCACCTCTCAGGGCCCAGCTGCTGGTCTGCCCCCCTACACAGGGCCAGGCCCGCTCCCCGAAGCTCAGCATCTGAGGTGGGGACTGGTGTCTCCTTTGCAGATTATTTCCTGACAGCAAGGACCTGGTGAACTTTGCCTCCTGGTTTGCATTTGCCTTTCCCAACATGCTGATAATGCTCCTGCTCTCCTGGCTGTGGCTCCAGTGTATTTACATGAGATTCAAGTAAGTTTGAGCTGCTCACAGCCTGATGATAAATGATGCCTAATGATGCCTCAAGGCTGCAAAAAAGCCTTCAGACTCCACAGGCGGGTTTACACAGTCCTTTGTCCGGCCCTGACATTTCTCCAGCCCTGTCTCTTGCTAGTCTGCCCTCCTGTTCCTTCAACCCTGGGCTGCTCTCTGAGCTTCTGCACACATGATCCCCTCTTCCTGGAATGCCATTCTCTACCTTCCCACCTCCTCAGCCTTCAAGGCCAGTGCAAATGCTGCTTCCCTGAATCTCCCCCCACCCCCATTCCATCTCTGAGCCGTCCCTGGTCATATCACAGCCCTATCCTTCAGTATCTGCATTCGGGTTCCAGTGACTTAGAGTTCCTCCAGAGCCACTGGGATGCGGGGCACAGCTCCTGGCACAGGGAGGAAGAGCGAGTGAGTTAAAGCAATTAAAGATAAGCTGGTCCCCACGTACCTGTTCGATATTACCGGACGAGCTTCCTCTTGCCCATGTGGGTCCATCAGGCCAGGTCACAGCAAACCTGTGACTCAGCTCCAAGCTAAGCTCATATGCTCTGTGCCTCAATTCACAGGGAGTTTAAGCCAAGTAAAATCAGGAGTAATGACTTCCAAATCAATCCAAACCTAGACCTTTACTGCATTCCTCTGATGTTCCCAGCAGTGTGCAGGTCCTGGAAAGTTTACCTTCCTCTTCCCAGCACACAGGCAAGTTCATCAGAGGCCACCTTTGATGGCAGCCAGACTTTGGACAGGAACCATGACTGGTGGCTCGAAAATATCTAAAAAAAGTTCTTGTTATTTTAGAACACACAAATTTATCTGTGGTGCAAAGGTGAACATACCACACCAGGATAGAAAGTACTGAGCTCTGAGCTAAGTGCATATACTCTATGCCTCAATCCACAGAGAACTCGAGCCAAGTAAAAACAGGGGAATATGTGACCAGAGGGAAGAGACTGCAGAGCCGAGAGGCGAAAGTTCCCACAGAAACCTGTGATTTCATGAGGAAAATAGGGAATTTTCCTAAGTCTTCTTCTGAAGGAGGAACTGTTTTGAAAACTGCCATTAAAAAGTTGCTATACAGGCCGGGCACGGTGGCTCACACCTGTAATCCCAATGTTTTGGGAGGCCGAGGTGGGCAGATCGCCTGAGTCAGGGGTTTGTAACCAGCCTGGCCAACAAGGTGAAACCCCATCTCTACTAAAAAAACAAAACTTAGCTGGGTGTGGTGGCCCACACCTCTAGTCCTAGCACTTTGGGAGGCTGAGATGGGCAGATGGCCTGAGGCCAGGAGTTCAAGACCAGCCTAGCTAATATGGTAAATTAAACTCCATCTCTACTAAAAATATAAAAATTAGCCGGGTGTGGTGGAATGTGCCTGTAATCCCAGCTACTTGGGAGGCTGAGGCAGGAGAATTGCTTGAACATGGGAGGCGGAGGTTATAGTGAGCTGAGATCGTGCCACTGCACTCCAGCCTGGGTGACAGAGTGAGACTCCGTATCGAAAAAAAAAAGTTACTATACACATTCAAAACAGTTATAACAAGGATAGTAAGAATAATAATTTTATTTTTTGAGGCAGATACTCACTCTGTTGCCCAGGCTGGAGTGCAGTGGCACGATCTCAGTTCACTGCAACCTCAGCCTCCTGGGTTCAAGTAATTCTCCTGCCTCAGCTTCCTGAGTAGCTAGGACTATAGGTGCCTGCCACCATGTCCAGCTAATTTTTGTATTATTAGTAGAGATGGGGCTTCACCATGTTGGCCAGGATGGTCTCAATCTCTTGACCTGGTGATCCGCCCTCCTTGCCCTCCCAAAGTGCTGGGATTACAGGTGTGAGCCACCGCACCCAGCCAACAATAACAGTGTTAATGATCATTACCCAAACCTCACTCTGTCCTGCCTGTGGACGGGGCAGGGAAGCTGCTCACATGGCTGCCTGGCCACCTGTGACAGCAGCTCTCTCTGCCCTGCGTCTTGCATCTATACCAAAGTCCTGTTCATTTGCTCACATCCATCGAACAGGCCTCCCAGGAGATGATTTCAAACCTGCTGCCAGTGGGCATCTGTGTCTCCTCATGGGCAATAGAAATAATCATGGGTAACATTTATTGATTGTTCATGATTTGCCAGACACAATTTTGAGCACTTTTTTTTTTTTCGAGATGGAGTTTCACTCTGTTGCCCAGGCTGGAGTGCAGTGGCGCAGTCTTGGCTCACTGCAACCTCCGCCTCCCAGGTTCAAGCGATTCTCCCTGCCTCAGCCTCTCGAGTACCACCATGCCCAGCTAATTTTTGTATTTTGAAATAGACACAGGGTTTGCCATGTTGGCCAGGCTGGTCTGGAACTCCTGACCTCAGATGATCTGCCCGCTTCAGCCTCCCAAAGTGCTGGGATTATGTAAGCCACCTCGCCTGGCCTGAGCACTCTTAAACTTAATTAATTTTCATAACAACCTATGAGGTTGGCACTATTATTATTATTCCTAATTTACAGACAAGGCAACTGAGGCATGGAGAGGTGATGTGGTATACACAGGGTTGTGTCATGGGGAAGTAGGGAACTGAGACTTGAACCCAGGCACTTTGGCTCACTGTATGGCATCCCCTCTTGGGGAGGCTGAGGGTTGCTGCCCTTAGTTGCCTCTAGACATAAGCATGACCAGGTTTCAGAGCATTAGTTGTGGCCCAGGGGCTGCCCTAGAACCCTAAGGCCCACTGAGGAAGAGGAGGGAGATAGCATGGCACTGGGACTACAAGGGCATCATCAGCTTCTTGTCTGGCCAGAGGTGGATGTCAGGCCACTGGAGATTCACAGCCAAGAACCTGAAGCTGCAGTCCACCCAGCCTGGCATGGCCTTCTTATTGACTGGCAGGGGAGCCTGGGAGTGTCTGCAGCAGGGGGCTTCTGAGCATGCTCGCGGTGGGGTGTGTATCTGCAGTCCATTCCAACCCTTTCCTGACAGCTACTCTAGTTTGGATGCCTGCAGCGTGGCTGGCCAGTGTGGCTCACAGGAGCTTTGTTTTGATTCCAGATCTGGCAGGTAGAGGACAGCTTTTGCATTCAGTTTGAGTGATGGGAACAGCGCTGTGGCCCAGGCCATGTCCTACCACAAACTAGGACCTGGAGATCCCTGCCTGCCTTTGTGGCCTCATGGACCGCTCCTCCTGAGGCCAGGGAGCACCTGTCTCCACTGCAGGAAGCAGCTGCGCTGTCAGCTCTTGCTCCCACTTGAGTTCCTCATCTGAATGGTTGTAGAGAACAAGGTTAAGGTCTTGGCCTCTAGCCTAATCTAGAAAAACTCCCTTGCTGAGGAGTCTAGTGTAGCCTCCTAGACTATATCTAGCAAAGGGGGCCAGACCTGCCCCCCGCCCCCCCGCAGGACCACTGAGAACTACGTGGGATATTATTACTGGTTATACTTAAGTGTCCCAACCAGGCTCACCTCCTATAATAGGGATGAGGGTTTTGGGACCCCTGCCAGGGCAGAGGCACTCAAAGCTCAAGGATCTCTTCCCTCTTCTTGGCTCTGCAGCATATTCAGTCCAGGTTCACTGTGGGGCATCTCGGTGAAGGCAGGACACTGTGGTGCCCACCCCTGATCCTGACCTAGGTCCCTCACAGGCCAACTGGATCCATTTGCTTGCATCTCATGCCATCAGATGAAATTAACCCAGAGCAAAGCTGCTTAGCACGGGAGACTGAAGGCTTGGCGGTACCACTGTGGGCACCAGCTTTGGACAACTGCATACCATGCAGCCTCAGAGTCTGCAACTACTGTGGTGTTGGGGATGAGCCTCCAGCACCAAATGCAGGCTCTGTATCCTGGGCCACTAGTAATAGCAAGGTCACCCCTTCTCCTGGAAACCTGAAGCCGTTGGCTGAGCCCGAGTCTCTAGAACGACAAGTGGCAGCAGATGTGAGGTGCTTGGTAGAGCACAAACTTGACCATGGCCATGATAGCACAGAGGCTCCCTCTTACACCAGCAGAGTCATCCTCATGCACACTATTTTCTAGAGAATGTCCCTGGCAGGTGACCCTCAGGACACAGAGCCTTGCCTCCTTGCCCTGCAGGGGGATCTTGGCCAGCTATGCAGACCCAAGATCCAATCAGTGTTGCCTCTTTTCTTGACCCCTGAGCACCCCAGAAAGCCGTGTCCTGATGTTCTGGTGTCCCCATGCTCCAGGCCAAGCCACCATCACACCAACACTTGACCCACAATCTCCAAGGCTGTTCACAACTAGCACTGGCTTCGGGAATTAGCACCGATTCCATCAACCCCTACCCTCCTAGGATTATGTCTTAGGGCCCCCTGAAGAGCTCTCCCAAGGGATGGCTCTCTGAGGACAATACTCTTGGCCTTGCCCACCCCTTCAAATCAACAGTGGCTGGAACTGGAATGTGTGAATGCAGTCTTCAGGAACTGGGGCCCCTGTGCATGCCTTAGTCCTGTGCACAGGGGCCCCAGTTATCCCCTCTCCACAGCTGAGCTACCCTCTGCACCTCCTCCAAGAACCTCCTCTTGTCTCTGCCTCCTCATGCCAACACCACCTTAGGGGAGGCCCTGCAGGACACCCTGGGCAATGGACACTGGTCCTAAGGAGGCCCATCCAGCATGGAGGTGCCCATCCTGGGCTGGCTTCCTTCCTGCCCTAGCCATGCCTGCTGCTAGCCCCAGGGCCTCCTGAATCCCTCATCCTGCACCTCCAACTCCTGGGAATGCAAGGACCCATTCTGCTCCTTACCAGCCCTGCCTGCCAGGATTCATACTCACTCCCTGTGTCTTACTGAGCCACCTTGGTGACGGGGGTTGGCATCCCAACACCATCAAAGCTCCAGACTGAGGTGGAAGGAGGAAGACTTGGGAAGGATGTGAGGGAGTCCTGGTCTCACCTTGAGCAGGCTCTGGGACTTCTTATGGCCTGTCCCCAAGTGATCCTGGAGCAGCCAGTCTCCAGGTGACTGGGCACCTGCCAAGACCCTCCAGCCTCTCTGCTGAGCCTTTTCCCTACTACATGCTGGGAAGGAAGAACAGGAGAGGGAAAGAGGCAGGAAGGGCCTTTCTCCAGGCCTCACAGCAGGCAAGGGCAGCCTTATGTGTCTTTCTGCCACATTCTGCTGTAGAATGTTTATGCTCCATCTGACTAGTACGTGAGCTAACCAGTCTCCTCTGCCCTTCTCTCATCTTTGCATTCTCCAGTTTTAAAAAGTCCTGGGGCTGTGGGCTAAAGAAGAGGAATAATGAGAAGGCTGCTCTCAAGATGCTGCAGGAGGAGTACAGGAAGCTGGGGCCCTTCTCCTTCGCGGAGGTCAACGTCCTGATCTGCTTCCTCCTGCTGGTCGTCCTGTGGTTCTCCCGAGACCCCGGCTTCATGCCCGGCTGGCTGACTGTCGCCTGGGTGGAGGGTGAGACAAAGTAAGTCTTTGATTCAATAGAAATCGCTGGCTTAGGGCTGGGTGCAGTGGCTCACGCCTGTAATCCCAGCACTTTGGGAGGCCAAGGCAGGCAGATCACAAGGTCAGGAGATGGAGACCATCCTGGCTAACACGGTGAAACCCTGTCTCTACTGAAAATACAAAAAATTAGCTGGGCGTGGTGGTGTGTGCCTGTAGTCCCAGCTACTTGGGAGGCTGAGGCAGGAGAATTACCTGAACCCAGGAGGCGGAGGTTGAGGTGAGCCGAGATCGCACCATTGCACTCCAGCCTGGGTAACAAGAGTGAAACTCCGTCTCAAAAAAAAAAAAAAAAAAAAAAAGAAAGAAAGAAAGAAAAAGAAATTGCTGGCCTAGTGCACTGGTGCCTAAATGCTGTAGTTCTTAGCTACAGGTGGCAAGAGGAATGTGGGCTAGGCACTCATGCTTGGTCAAGGTTTCTCTTTTTTTGGAAGTTGGGTTTCACAGAGCACTCTGTTGGTTTCATGACTTATTTTTGTGTTTTGACCGAGCTTTACAATAAGACCCCAAATGTGTTCCTGTGGTATCCTCTCCTCCCTGAGTAAGCTGAGCAGAAAATACTTGGCCAGGCACGGTGGTCACAGCTGTGCTGAGAGAGATTTCCTGGGCTAGGATTAGGGCTCCCAGAGCTCTGGTTTCCAAATCTCTGCTCTGCCATCTTCCCTTTCTAATCTTCACATCTGGTCAAATCCTCCAAAAGCACACATCCAGGGAGCTTCACAGACAGAGACTTGGCAAAGTGGGTACATGTAGTTTTTCTCCTGCCTAAGATGTTGTCAGAATGGAAGAAGGTGGAGAAACATGTATATCCTAGAAAAGGCGAAAGATGTGGGCAGGGAGATGCTGCCTATCATGGCCATTTCATTTTGAAGGACAGCTTAGGTCAGCACCAAAGTCCTTGTGGCCACCCTGGTGAACCCAAAATTCTAGAGAACCTGGACGAGAAAAGGTCCTGAAACACACCTATGGAGAATGCATGCACCAAGAGAGGGAAGTAGGCTACTTGGGGTCACCCAAAGTTGGTGGCCAAGAGTGTGGGCATCTTGATTTCTAGCCAGGACTCAGTCTACCACACCACTCCTGAGCTTGACTTTTAGGGCTATATGAGCATGTTTCTTTGCATTGGAGCATTTAGACACAGAACTGCTGGTGTTGTAATGGCTTTGTTGAGTGACTGTCATTGCAGCAGCTGAGCTGTGCTTTTCCCCACCTAGGTATGCCTCCGATGCCACTGTGGCCATCTTTGTGGCCATCCTGCTATTCATTGTGCCTTCACAGAAGCCCAGGTTCAACTTTTGCAGCCAGACTGAGGAAGGTAAGGCTCCTGTCCTGATCTTCCAGTCATCGGGACTGGAGCACAGGAAGCAAAGGATCACTATGGGATGCCCTGGGCTCTGAAGGGGGAAAATCCCATCATATCCAAGAGGATTAGCTACATAACAAAAGCCTGGGAGACAGTGGCTTTCAAGCCACGGGTGGTATTATTTAGTGCAAAATGTCTTCTCTTTTGCTTTTTAAACATTTGAAATTTTATTTCTAGTACAACAGGAACAGAAAATGTTTTAAATTTCCCATAACACCATCAGTAACTTTTTGTTTTCTCTCTTCCTCCCAGTCTTTGCTAATACGCATATATATTACATTATAATCAAAACACACACAGTTTGAATCCTATTTCTTTGTTGTTTCTTCTGCTGTTTTTGATTGACAGTACACTATAAACATTTCTCACTATTGCTATGGTCCTCAAATATATTTTCTCTAATAATGGTATTATATTGCATAGAGGGGATGTAATAATTCTCCTGTCATAGAACATTTGGGCTGTTCTGAATTTTTTATTTTCAGAAATTAATGTTTTCTTGTATATAGCTTTTCCTTTGAGGGTATTTCTCATTTAGGATAAACTTCTAGGAGTAATATTGCTGGGGCAATAGAATATAAAGTCCTAATGACCCTTAAGATGTATGGCCAAATTGCTTTTCAAAAAGGTTGTACCAATTTCTGATGCTATTGGCACTGTGTGGCACAGTTTGACCACATCCTTACCAGCAATGTATATAGATTAGTGTAAACTCATTTATAGGGAGGAGATGGTATCTTGTTGTCCTTATTGGCTTGATTCCCGCTTGATATTAGATTCCTTTTGACTCCTAATGCTGCTCTGGGGTGTGTGTGTGTGTGTGTTTATTTTTCTTCTCAGAAAGGAAAACTCCATTTTATCCCCCTGCCCTGCTGGATTGGAAGGTCACCCAGGAGAAAGTGCCCTGGGGCATCGTGCTGCTACTAGGGGGCGGATTTGCTCTGGCTAAAGGATGCGAGGTAAATTCTCCAGCCACAGGCTGCCCAGAGCCCTCTTCTTTGACAAGAGGGTGACATTTCTCTGCCCTTCCATCGCTGGGCTTGTGTGTTTCTGTGCCTGTATCAAACTGCACATTCCTTGAGAACAGGGACTCTTGTCTTCCCATCTAGGAAATCTACACCACATATAGGGCCTGGAAGACAGAAAGTAACCTTTGAGTGATTGCAGGAGTGAGTGAATGAGTGACCCTGGTTAGCCAAGAGGGGCAGAGGACAGTCAGGTACCCTCTGGGGTTTGATAAGAATGACCTCTGCTTTGATTTTTCTGAGGGAAATCTTTCAAGTCCTTGTCAATATTGTTTGTTACTACCTTTGGTTGTTCAGCTGCCTGAGCTCTTTGTTAACATTGTAGCTACTTCAAAATTTTTCTTTAGCTAAGTATGTAGCAGCATAGGAAGAGAGGAACATTTTGGAAAATACCCAAAAATATAACTTTCTCTACTTCCATCCTTCCCTCCTAGGGAAGAAATGAGCCAGAGGGAGGGGTAAGCCAGCTTGCTGCTGCTGTCCTCCAACCAACCGTCCACCCATTCGGGAGTGTAATAGATAGACATGGTCTTGTTATTGCTGCTTCCTCAATATCTAGGACACAGCTTGGTGCCTAATGGGTGCTAAATTGTGGGGGTGAAAAAATCCATCCATTTAGTCATCTCTTGATCCATTCATCCATGTATCTATTCAAGTCTCCATCCATCCATCCAGCCAGCCATCCATCCAGCCATCCATCCATCCACCCTCTCATCTATCCATCCCTCCATCCATCCACCCACCTACCTATCCATCCAGCCATCCATCATCCATCCATCCATCCACCCAACTATGCATCCATCCATCTAAACATCCATCATCTATCCATCCATCCATCCACTCATCCATCCATCCATCCACCTATCCATCCATCCATCCATCCACTCATCCATCCATCCATCCATACACTCATCCATCCATCCATCCATCCATCCATCCATCCATCCATCCATCTATCCATCCATCCATCCAACATTCCTATTAAGTCCCTAGTGTTAGGCCAGGCACAGAGATTACAGAGGAGATTGAGATATGGTCCCTGTTCTTGATAGACTTCAAGACTAGGGAGGGGCACATATGTGGGAGGGCATTTCAGGAAGTGGGACATGAACAAGGGAGAAAATGTGAGGTATTTAGCTGAGGAGAAGTAGAAGATGAAGCTAGTGAGGCTACCAGAAGCCACTTCTCTGAGGGCCCCAAGATAGCAGGGTGTGGACTGGATCATGAAGGCAATAGACAGCCACTAAAGGACTGAGGCCAGTGGGTGAGTTGGTCAGATCTGCAGGTCAGGAAATCACTCTGATGTCTGGAGTCGGGGCCTGGGACAGACAGGGCATGGAGGAGAACTAGCTGAGACTCTGCAGCCTTTGTTTCACTCAGGCTCAGAACTTTGGACTCTGTGGACATTCTCTCCTTGACATTCCTTCCTCCTCTGGCCCCCAGCACAGCACCATCTCCAGCTTTCCTTGAGACTCGGACTATTCCTGCTCAGCCTCTGTTGCTGACTTCTCCTCTGTTCTCCCTGAAATAGGAGTGTTCATCCAGGCTCTGTCCTTGGCCTCTCCTCTCTTTACGCTTTGTTCTCTCTCTGGACAATCTCTTCTCAGCTCAAAGCCCTAAATCTAAACCTCAATTTCTGGTCAAAATCAATCTCCTGAGCTTCCAAAATTGTGGAGGACTGAAGAGGAGGAGATGGATGTGAGACGTTTGGGTGACTTGGTGCCTGAGTGGGTATAAGGAATGAGGGGAACACAGACCTGGCAGCATAGTTCCCAGCCTTCTGGGTTTGGACAGCTGGTGGATGGTGAGTCCATTCACCAAACTGGGAGGCCCAGAGAGAGAAGCAGATTCTGGGCTATCGAGGATGAATACAGGGTGGCGCATATTGACATGGGACATCTCATGGGACATCTGGGTGGACATTTTCAGAAGGCATATGGGTGTGTAAATCCAGAGAGTAGGCCAGATGGCTGGAAGTACAGATTTAGGAGACAGCAGAGTGAAGATGGGGATGAAAATGGTGGGAATGGATGAGGTCACCTATGAGGTATAGAGAAAGAGGGTCAGGAGAGGAGGATAGCCCAAGCTTACTCTGGCCCTGAAGGAACTGCAAGCCAGGAGCCCTGCAATAACTGCCCTCCTGGTGCTTCCCAGGCCTCGGGGTTGTCCGAGTGGATGGGGAAGCAGATGGAACCCTTGCACGCAGTGCCCCCAGCAGCCATCACCTTGATCTTATCCTTGCTCGTTGCCGTGTTCACTGAGTGCACAAGCAACGTGGCCACCACCACCCTGTTCCTGCCCATCTTTGCCTCCATGGTAAGTAACCTAAAGATGGGAAGGGGCCCTTCCATTTCACAGGAAGCTGTCAACACATGGCCATGTTCTGGGTCCCTAAAGAGGCAGCGGTCCAGGCCAGAGCCAGACCAGGCTTTGGAGACCTAGGTCTGGCTGTCATGTGGATTTGTGGACCCTAGATGCCTCTGCTCCTGAGGACTCCGCTGCTTTTCCACTCCTCTTTGTACCCCTCATGCTGGCCAAAACATCAAACATGGACCAAGTTCTCAGATTTGTTTTATAAATCTAATTGGATTATTTTTCAAGCTGGGGAGATAGGACTTGGGCTAAAGAGGAGCAGGCCAGAGCCATGGTCTCTGAGCACAGGTGTGCAGAAGGACTGCAGAGCAGGAGCAGCACTGGCTGGAACTCCCCAGGAAGAGGCCTTGGAGGAGTGGGGACTTGGGAATGGGTGGTAGGAGAGAGATAGTTCTGGGAAGGTGGAGCAGTGCACGTAAAGGAAATGGTGCACATGACTGCGGACTCCTGGAGGCCTTGCTTGACAAGCACAGGGATAAAGGATCACAGGGAGTTGAGAGAGGTAGCTGTTGCTCGTGGGAAAAACTGCTGAGTGCCAGGCTAAAGCGTTCTGTTCTGTGGACAAGCATATTTTTGAGTTGGGATTGAAAAGAAAGCAGAGCTTATAGGAAAATCAGTGGCTACCATTTTTTGCATTTCCTGCTGTCACCCATTGCAAAGATGTACCAGCTTCAGGGGAGTGTGAAAAGAGCCCTGGTCTTGCAGTCAGAAGACCTGAGTTCAAGATGTGGGATCTCTGCACATGGCCCTTAACTTCTTTCCTCCTGGAGCTGTGCTGATGGCCAAGTAAGATTAGGGCTATGAAAAGCCTCTGTGGACTGCAAAATGAGCATGGGAGAGGCTGTCATTATTCTGGAATTGGGAGACAGATTGACAAAGGGCCTGAACACAGGACTGAAGTTGGTAAATTTCCATTCAGCTGCCTGGGCGTCTGTGTGTATAAAAAGCAAAACTAAGTGGTTTTTTTTCCTTTCCAAGTGAAGATGAAAGTGTTAAAAATAGCAAGGAGGTGAAAGTGTGAAAAATAGCAAAGTGGCCTGTCTCTCTTCTCCTAAGCAGGCTGCCCAGACAGATGCCCAGTAACAGGAGCACCTTTCCATGCCGGGCGCGTGGTGGCGATGTCTCCTCTCTCCTAGCAAAGGCCCTGGCTTTGTCATCTCCAGCCCTAACTGGGAACACCAAGGGTCCCAACCAGACAACTGCAGGCTCTAACGGGCCCTTTGAGAACAAGCTTTTCTAGAACCCCAAGTAAAATTTCCCCCAGCTACCTCTAAGGCCCATCACAATCTTGTCTCATGCCTACCTATGAGAAAAGAAAATGTGGTGGTCATTCAGCTGGGTTGCCAAGGAGTGTGGGGTGCATACACCATATGGTACCCAGAGCCAAGAAAATGAGGATGGCGGAGGAGAGGCACCAAGGAAGAGCCGGGCCCCTGCCTGGGACATCTCAGTGATTCCAGAGGATGTAGGACTTGTGGCAGTCATTTCGGAGGGCTGTTTACCAACAGGAACCATAACATCAAATCTGCTCAGACCCCTTGACTCAGCAATTTTATGTTTGGGAATACATCTTAGGAAAATAATCAGAGATGTCTACAAACATATATTATGATGTTGTATGGCAGAATTATGAAAATATATTCGGAGTAATAGGGGTTTGCAGAAATAAATTATCATATATTCATATAACATAACACTATCAGGCCATTAAAAATCACAGTTTCCAAGAGTAATAAAGTGGGAACATGCTTATAGTGTTATTTCTTTAAATTGCAGATGGTATATGGCTAAAAGTGTCTGATAATGCAAAGATGTATACAGACCTTAAACCTCTAGCCTCCTCCCTAGAGATGACTTCTGTTATTAATTTCTCAGGTATCTTTCTGGATATATTACACACACACACACATTCTCTCTCTCTCTCTCTCTCTCTTTTTAAATAAATGGCATCATTCTATAGTCATTATACATCTTAATTTTTTTTGTTGTTTTTTTGAGACGGAGTTTCGCTCTTATCACCCAGGCTGGAGTGCAATGGCGCGATCTTGGCTCACTTCAACCTCCGCCTCCTGGGTTCAAGCAATTCTCCTGCCTCAGCCTTTCGACTAGCTGGGATTACAGGCACCAGCCACCTCGCCCTGCTAATTTTTGTATTTTCAGTAGAGATGGGGTTTCACCAAGTTGGCCAGGCTGGTCTCAAACTCCTGACCTCAGGTGATCCACCTGCCTTGGCCTCCCAAAGTGCTGGGATTACAGATGTGAGCCACTGCACCTGGCCATACATCTCAATTTTTAAAAAATCTAACCATAGGTCTTGGCGATCTTTGCATAGTAGCACAAAAAAACAATCCAATTGTTTATAGCTGCATACTATTCCATGGCTTGTATGTATCATATTTTATGTAGCCATCCTGCTATTAGTGACCATGGAGTTGGCTTCCTGCACTTTCCTGTTATATTGTTGCCACAAACATGTTTGCATGTGTCTGCCCTATGTGCATGTAAATCTGCATGATGCATAATTGATTTGATAGCTTTTAGGAATTATTCATTCATACACTTGACAAATATTTAATGAGTGCCTACTCTCTGATAGGTGCTGTTAGATGTGGCTGAATTTTAAAGTGTAGAATTTAAAAGGTGGCTACCAAATTCCATGTGCGAAATGATCCCATGCATGAATAGAAACACACACATCCACAGATTCATATGCAGGTGAGAAGATGTGGTCCTTGCCCTCTAGATTCTCGGTCTGCGGCAGGACAGACATTTGCACGTGGCACTGGAAGGTTGAGTGCAGTCTAAGTACTCAGCACGGTCTCTGGCACATAGTAGGTGCCCAAGAAATATATGTTGAATAATTGAGGGGGTTCAGAAAGGCCTTCTAGGGGAGAGAGCCTCTGAGCTCAGCCTTCAGTGTTCAGTGGGTAAAGTTATCTGGTAGAGACGTGGCAAAAGGGAGAGGAACCAAGACAGAGGCACAGAGGTTCAAACGTACCTGGAATGTTCAGAGAATGCTTTTCAGAATCCCGTCCCCAAGAGCTTCTGTGTTCTGTACAGTGACGTTGCAGTGCTGTGTTTTTCTGCAGTCTCGCTCCATCGGCCTCAATCCGCTGTACGTCATGCTCCCCTGTACGCTGAGTGCCTCCTTTGCCTTCATGTTGCCCGTGGCCACCCCTCCAAATGCCATCGTGTTCACCTACGGGCACCTCAAGGTTGCTGACATGGTAACACAGCTGTTTTTATTCACTCCCATTGGACTATAATGCTGTTCTCATAAGGGATGCCCCATTTATGAATGACGTGTGAGTTTCAAAATGATGTTATATGATTTGGGAATACCACGGAACATCCAGACCTGTAGTCATTGTTTACATTTATAATGCAGCTTTTCACTGCAACCTCTGCCTCCTGGGTTCAAGTGATTCTTCTGCCTCAGCCTCCCGAGTAGCTGGGATCACAGGTGCCAGCCACGTCACCCCACTAATTTTTGTGTTTTTAGTAGAGACGGGGTTCATCGTGTACCATTGTGTTAACCTACGGGTACCTCAAGTTTGCTAACATGATAACACAGCTGTTTTCATTTACTCCCATGGAACTGTAATTCAGTTGTCATAACAGATGCCCCATTAAAGAATGGCGTGTGAGTTTCAAAATGATGTCATATGATTTGAGAATACCACGGAACTTCCAGACCTGTAGTCATTGTCTACATTTACAATGCAGCTTTTCTTTTTTCTTTTCTTCTTATTCTTCTTTTTTTAAATGATCTCAAACCTCACACACTATTCTTTTTCTGAAGTGGGCTGCAGAATCTCCCACCTGGAGAAGCATGTGCAGGCATCAGGGGAGTCCTTGAAAGGGGTGAAGGTGGGGCTGGACTCACATGGCCAAGGACGGACCATGAAGATAGGCAGGGCAGGCTTAGGCAGCAGGGAGATGCTACTGACAGTCACCGAGATTCAGAGGGGTGTCTGAGGAGGTAGAGTAGAGAGAGGAAGAGAGAGACCACTGCTTGGGAGTGGATGGTAGATGATGCCTTGGGAACAAATGCAGTCAGAGGAAGAACTCTTCATGCCTGGCTCTATCACCTCTAATGGGAGAAGAAGGGCAGCTTTGCAGCTCTGGGGTGGGATAGGGGAAAGTGTGTGAACCCAGGAAGCCAGAAATGCACCTTGGACCAATCAGGTGTTCCTTATCTCAGAGCCTCTGCTGGGTATCTCAGGGACTCCATGGAGCATTTTCATAAAGAGTGGGTCCTGGCTGGGCACAATGGCTCATGTCTGTAATCCCAGCACTTTGGGAGGCTGAGGCAGGCAGATCACAAGGTCAGGAGTTCGAGACCAGCTTGACCAACATGGTGAAATAATGTCTCTACTAAAAATACAAAAATTAGCCAGGCATGGTGGCATGTGCCTGTAATCTCAGCTACTCAGGAGGCTGAAGCAGAATTGATTGAACCCAGGAGGTGGAGGTTGCAGTGAGCCAAGATCACACCACTGCACTCCAGTCTGGGTGATAAAGCGAGACTTCATCTCAAAAAAAAAAAGAGTGGATCCCAGAAACTGTGGACTGCAAACCTGATTCCAATCCCCAATAAAATATCTGCAAAGGGCCAGTGAAGCAGTGGTTAGCCATCATGGGGGAAGACTGCAGAGCAGGCATCAGAAAGAGCCCGAGGAGGTCCACAGGGAAGCTGGCACCTCCTTGCAGGATAGTTAGGGCACCGGGGTGAGCAGGGAACCTGGACTCACATGCTGGTCCCTGTCACCATTCCCCTGAATGGCCTACGCTGCTGCCTCCCACCACCTCTCTGAGGTCATTTCCAAATGCTCATGGGCATAAAGAATCCATCTGTTCTGCCTACTTCCCAGGGATGCCTCGAGTACCAGGGATACCTGGGGGACCTGAAGTGGCTCTGTCTGCGTGTTGGGGGAGCACAGAGCATGGGCGAGGCCCAGGGAACTGGCCCTCTGTCTTCCTCTCTGAGAGTGCGAGTTCCCAGCAGGCCTCAGGGTGCTGACTCTGACCCTGTCTCTTTTCCAGGTGAAAACAGGCCTCATGATGAACATCATTGGAGTCTTCTGTGTGTTTTTGTCTGTCAACACCTGGGGACGGGCCATATTTGACTTGGATCATTTCCCTGACTGGGCTAATGTGACACATGTCGAGACTTAGGGAGAGCCACAAGACCACGCACACAGCCCCACCCTCCTCAGGACTATGGAACCCTCTGACACACTTTGCACAGAGTTTTGGGGTCACACCCCAAAGTGACTCAATGATGTCCACACGCCATCAAAACCCAGCCAGTGGGCCATCTCTTCCTCCAGGCCCAGATGCAGAGATGGGAATGGGCAGCTGGAGGGCAGGCTCAGAAGTGAAGGGAACCCCTCAAGGGCGGCTGGACCCCTCTTTCCCAAGCCTTGCCTTTATTGCTGTGAGGGCAGGTAGCTGAGGGATCAGGATGCAGGCTCCTGTACCCGCTCTGCCTCCAGCATCCCCTACATGGGGCTCTGGTTTTCACTCACTTAGTCCTAGGTAGTTTAAGTGGGAATCAGATCCTCTGGTTGAGAGCTAAGAAAACCACCTACCAGTGCCCATGCCTCTCCCGGCTCACGTTGAGCTGCCTCAGTTCATCTCTGTCATTCTGAAGGGGACACCCCAGCCAGGGACAGAGTGCCTGGTCTGGAGCAGCCTCCCACTGCTGGAGTGAGAGGGAACCAGAGCCTCTCAGAGCCTCTTGCAACTCCTCATGTGGCCACCACCAAAAAAAGGATGAGGAATCTGAGTTGTAACTTCAGGATGACACCTGGCTTCCCACCCACAGCGCACCAGTGGCCAGCCTGCTCTTTTCATGACTTCGTTCCGTTTTAATTGACTGGACCCCTGTCCCACCTCCCCAGTGAGCCTCCTTCAACTCCTGGGACCCCTGTTGTCTGGGCTAACATTTGCCGAGATGCCCTGGCTGACAGCCTCTGGTGTCCCCCTTTTCTCCTAGGCAGGTCATCTTTTCTGGGAGATGTTTTTCCTGCCATCCCCAAATAGCTCATATCACACTCCAAGTATGGGCAGTGATGGCGCTCTGGGGGCCACAGTGGGCTCTCTAGGTCCTCCTTCACCTGAGGCCCAAAGTGGACACAGCTGTGAATTTCCCCTAGCTAGGCCACTTCAGAGTCTTTCATGCCAGACCGTGAGCTCCTCTGGGGAAAGCCTTCACTTTGTTGACTGGCCTTCACAGCCGTGCCTGGTGACAACAGAGGATCGCTGAGAATGAGCAGTGCTTGGTGGCCCCTCAGCAGACAACCCCTGCCCGTGAGCCAATCTACTTGAAGTTACTTGGACAAAGACCCCAAAGTGGGGCAGCAACTCCACAGTGGCCGTTGGAATCCTCAGAACTCTCCTGTAAGATACAGACATGAGAGACAAGTACCATCTTGCCCCTGCAAGCCCATTGTATTTCCTTCTTGCGCTGCTCTGGAAGAGAGGCAGTAGCAGATAGATGAGCTCCTGGATGGCATTTTCCAGGGCACGAGAAAGTCTGAGAGCCTCAGGAAACCCCATCAAGGACCAAGTGTGTGTCTGGTTCCTCGGGTGGGACAATTCCTGACCTCACTGTCCGGGTCTTGCTCTCATTAAATGCTCTGTCTCCCCTGGAAAGTTCCACTGTGCTGCTGACTCGTCTCTGGTTTTCTGCAGTGTGGGGAGCCCAGGGAGGTGGATGAATGAACAGTTACTCCCTGCCCACCTCCTGGGTGCTGGGCCTTCCTGTACCTGGTGAATCCACTAGTTATCTCATTCAATCTTTGCAGCAACCCTGTGAGATAGGAAGGTGTTATTATCCTTTGTCTTTCAAAAAAAAAAAAAAAAAGTGAGGTTCAGGGGCCAAATGAAGTGTCCAAAGTCACACGTCAAGTTACTGGCAGTTACGGTTCCAACCCAGAGCTTCCAACTCCATACCCACTGCTCCTTCCGCTAGCCATGAAGAAGGGCCTTGGCCTTATGGGGCTTGTAGGGAAGGTGAGTGGCCAAGAGCAAGTCCATGCCAAGGGAAGAGCTCCAAACATGAGTCCTTGTCTGTTGCCTCCTCTGAGATAGGCACAGGACAGTGATCAATGAGACAGGGTGGTCCTTGTCCTAAGAAGCAAAGTGTCTGGTTAGGAAGAGAAGTAGGAAAAAGGCTGCCATCTCCCTTAACCAAGGTACAACTGCTGGCTTTCTTCCTCCCCAGTCCTCCAGCACTGCTCTCCGTACTGCTGCTGTTGACTGGCCTGCCTCACCAGACGGAGGGCTCTGACTGCCCACCGAGCCTAGTGTCAGCATTATGGCTGACCCAGAGCAGGCTATAATCAATAAATGATTCGTCAGTGTTGTCAATTAAGTGCAAGCTGGTGGTTATAGGCAAGGCCAATGAAGTTCATCCAAGGTGGGCATTGGAGGATGAGTAGAATGGCCAGGAGTAATGGAAGAGGAACTGGTGGGTGGATGGAGGACTCACCCAGACACCATCTGGTTGAGGGCTGACAAAAAGCTGGGTGGAGGGCTTCCAGAGTGCAGAACTCCCACCTGAAGAGGCTGACCAGAGGTGAATCCTAGACAACTTCTGTGGAGTTGGCTGGAGTTGCACTAAGATGTATGGCCTCCCCAACCAAACACTTTGCTTCTTAGGGCAAGGATCACTCTCTGACTGATCACTTTCCTCAGCCTATCTCAGGAGAGGCAACAGAGAGGGACCCATATTCAGAGACCTTCCCTTGGCATGACTTGCTCTTGGCCACTCACTTTCCCTACAAGCCCTGTGAGGCCAAGGCCCTTCGTGGCTAGCGGAAGGAGCAGTGGGGAGTTGGAAGATTTGGATTGGAACCGTAATTTCCACTAAGTCAATGTGTGATTTTTGAACACTTAACTTGGCCATACATGCTCTCTTATTTGCTTTTGATGGCAAATAAGAGAAGGTTCAGCAAACAGTGGCTTAAACTGTAAGGTTGTTTAATGTTAAATTTCAGGAAGCCCGCAGTAGATGGTTGCTGGCATTGGCCCAACATCTCATTTCATCCTCTAAGGATTTGGGTTCCATAGTGTACTCTGTCTTCTTAAGGCCGTCACACTTTTACCTCCATGCCTGACCCCCAGGCTACATACAGAGCTGCTTTCCTTCCAGGCAGAAAGGTGGATGGGGTGAGGGCATGATGATGTCAACTGCATCTGTCTCTTTTTCTAGGAAAGTAAAAGCTTCCTTAGAAGCCCCATGCAGACTTCCTTTTATGTCTTATGGGCCAGAAGTGGATCACATGCCTACCCTTAGACCCATCACTGACAAAGGGGGATTGGAATACCATTGGAATACTGTGGCCAATTAAGTCTCATCTCTTGAGGTTGGAGAATCGGTCTATGTTTCCCCAAATTAAGATATTTCCACCAACTACAAAATTGAGGCTCTGGCAGAAAAAAAGTGGGAGGAGCTGTTGGGTAGGTGATGATAAGTGTGTGGTATGATCACTCCATGAGGCTCTCTTTCTGTAGAATTCAGTAGAAGCATGTTGCTAGGTAGGAAGTGAGTACATGGTTGTCTGATCAAGAGCTTAAACAAAGCCTCCACTTCCCAACAGGTAGTCCTTCTGCAGCAGGTCCCGTGGATTGGGAGGCTAGAGTCTGAGGATGGAGCTCAGTCCTGACATCTGACACCAAATAAGCCATTCAACACTCTGGGTCTCAGTTTCCTTCATGAAGGGACTGGACCAGAGGGTCTCTAAGGGCTTTCCCCAGGGTCATGGATCCTCTTACCCCAGTTGACCCTCCTTCTGCTTGGGCCAGATGCAGCCCCCCGCCATTCCATGCAGTCTCAGCTTGGAGCCTGTTCCAAGGTCCCACTGCTTGCTTCCCTGTGGGGCTTCGCTGAAGGCCATCTCAGGCCTTTCCCCCATCTATATCTTGCCTCTGACATTTTGTAAAGAAGTTCCATCCTAGGCCTTTGAGTTCTCTCTCTTTTTTTTTTTTTTTTTTTTTTTTGAGATGGCATCCTACTCTGTTACCCAGGCTGGAGTGCAGTGGCATGATTTTGGCTCACTGCAACCTCCGCCTCGCGAGTTCATGTGATTTTCCTGCCTCAGCCTCCCAAGTAGCTGAGATTACAGGTACCTACCACCACACCCAGCTAATTTTTGTATTTTTAGTAGATACAGAGTTTTATCATGTTGGCTAGGCTGGTCTGGAACTCCTGACCTCAGGTGATCCACCTGCCTTGGCTCCCAAAGTGCTGGGATTATAGGCATGAGCCACTGAGATTGGCCAAGTTCTCACTTCTTAGTTCTTGGATCAGACATTTGGACTTGAGGTTAGCTGAACACACAATTCTGACCAGGACTGGGCTCTTACTTTTTTTTTTTTGGAAGGGGCTTATGACTCCACAAGGATTCTTTGCATTCCAAAATCAAGTCCCTGGGCTCCTTATCCTCCGATCTCTGAATTAGATACTCCTAAGGGCAGGACACAGGTCTTCTCCCCGGTTCATCCTAAGCTGAGAGCTTCCTATGAGGAGGACCTGGGTCTCCCACTCTGGCATCTACCTGAGACAGGCAATGTCTTGTCTCCTCCCCACCATCTCTCGCACATAAACAAAACAACCCTTTGCTCTGGGTTCCAAGCAGGATATCAACTCACTAGCACAAAGTCCCATCCTTGAAATGAATAAATAAGGATATTCTCGGAAGACCTTTAACGGCATGTTCTTGTCCGTGGAAATAAAGTCCAAATGCTGTATTGTCAGGTTAAAAACTACAGCTGGCTGGTCTATTCTTAGCTCAGAATCCCTTCTTCCAGGTACTTTCTCCCCCTAGTGACACAGCCTCTGAAAAGCCTTTGTGTCCCAACCTAACAGAGACTTTTAAAAACATCTATTCACACTTAAACAAAAAAAAGTTTTATCAAGATAAATCCTCCATACCATGGGATGGGCTTTTACATTTTTCAACTGCAAGTTTGCCATTTCAGGCTGAAGTCTCTGCAATCAAGATTCCGTTCATTTCACTTGGCTTCCTGAGCCAGAATTCAGGTGTACTCACCTCCCCGCCCCAGGAGCATCTTCCAGCTGCTTTCCTGATCTGCTTATATAAATGCCCCCTTACAACCGCACAGCCACAAGCCACCCATGGCCGGCAGTGCTGTCCCTGCTTTCTGCTATCAAGGGCAGAGAAATATGGAAGTTCAATTTCAGAAAACCCTGTTGTCCAGTCAAGAATTTTTTAAACTACTTTTTATAGTAAAAAATTAATATGAACACAGTAAAGAAATTCCAGTGGCACAAAAGGTATTGAGACGTTTTCCTCTCACTTCAGACTTTGTGTCCCCAAACTATCCCAGCCGAAAGGGAACCACTGTCAATGGTTCCTTATATACCCTTCTAGAAAGATTATATAATAGTTATCTATTAACTTTATTACATATGGGAGCACACCATACACATTTTCTGTTCTTTTTTCACCTCCGCCTCCACCAACTAAGAATTTATTTGGAGATCATTCTATTTTGGGGCATAAGTTTGGCTAATCTTTTTCCATTAACAGTTAATGTTAGTCTTAAACCGAGGAGAGATTAGGCCGAGTGCCTGTAATCACAGCACTTTGGGAGGCCAAGGTGGACAGAACACCTGAGGTCAGGAGTTTGAGACCAGCCTGGCTAACATGGAAAAACCCCGTCTCAACTAAAACTATAAAAATTAGTTTAGTGTTGTGGTGAACACCTGTAATCCAAGCTACTTGGGAGGCTGCTGCAGGGGAATCACATGAACCCAGGAGGTGGAGGTTGCAGTGAGCCGAGATTGCACCACTGCACTGCAGCTTGGCAACAGAGAGAGACTCCGTCTCTAAATAGATAGATAGAGGTGAGATTAAGTTTAGAAACTGCACAGATCTTAAGTGTACAATCCAACGATTTTGACAAATGCTTACATCTTGTAAACAACATCCAAATTCCATAATCCTCCTGCCCAAAGTTCTCTCTGCCCTTCAAGTAACACTTCCTGCAGGCAACCATGTTCTGATCTCTGTCACTAAAGATTGGTCAGGTCCGGGCCGGGCGCGGTGGCTCAAGCCTGTAATCCCAGCACTTTGGGAGGCCGAGGCGGGTGGATCACGAGGTCAACAGATCGAGACCAGCCTGGTCAATATGGTGAAACCCCGTCTCTACTAAAAACACACACAAAAAATTAGCTGGGCATGGTGGTGCGTGCCTGTAGTCCCAGCTACTTGGGAGGCTGAGGCAGGAGAATTGTTTGAACTCAGTAAGTGGAGGTTGCGGTGAGCCGAGATCGCGCCATTGCACTCCAGCCTGGGTAACAAGAGCGAAACTCCGTCTCAAAAAAAAAAAAAAAAAAAGATTGGTTAGGTTCATTGAACTTCATATAAATGTAATCATACAATACATACTCTAGGGTCTGATTTATTTTGTTTAAATACTTCTGAAATTCATTCCTGTTGTTGTATATCTGTTCATTTTATTTATTGTTGTTGCTAAATAGTGTTCCATTGTACGGGTATGCCATAATTTGCATAGTCTCCTGTTGGACATTCGGGCTGTTCCAATTTGGGGTTATTATAGATAAAGCCATTTATAAACATCTGTGCAAGTTTTTTTGTAAGCATATGTTTTCATGTCTCCTGATG